GCAGTCATTACCCCATGATAATCAGCAGCAAGATCAGTCAATTTTCCAACAAAGGTCCAACGAGGGGCCTTCAAAACAAGTACTTGATCAATCTTTAGGCGCTCAGCAACAATTCAATGTTCCTCCAGTGGAGACTCACCAGTCGAATTTCCTTCATTCGCAACAATTAAATGCACCATCAGGTCAACAAATGGTTGGTCAACCAAACGCTGTTCCAATGCAAGAGTTCAATGTGCCACCACAGCAAAGTGCTCAGCTGCAGCCACCAGTGATGTCGCAGCAGCAACAACAGGTTAATGTACCGCCTGTTCAACCAGTTCCCAGTGCAAATCAGGCTCAGGCTCATGTTGTACCACAACAACAGCAGCAGATTAATGTACCGCCTGCTCAACCAGTTCCAACTATGAATCAGCCTGAGGTTCCACTACATGACTTAAATGCTCGGAAGATGCCTCAGCAAGTTCCCGTGCCGCAGCAACAGCAGCGCCAATCAGGTACGGTTCCCCAACAACAGCAGCAGGTCAATGTGCAACCCACTCAGCCAGTCTCATCTATCAATCAGCCCGAGGTTCAACAGATTCCTCAGCAGGTCCCCGTGGTGCAGCAACAGCAGCAGCGATCCCCTTCGCAATCCCCACCAGTCTCTAATAAACAGGTTCCTCCTGTCAAATCTCCTCCGGAGCCCTCTCACGTGCACAACGAACTACCCCATAGGGGTTACGAGCGCCATGCTCATGAATCCTCGCCTCCAAAACCCAAGCAGATGGAATTCCATCCACCAATTTTTCTCCATCAGGACTCAGAACTGGATTTCTATTCACGCCTACCCTCTCCCCAGAAATCCGACTCTGATATTCTCAAAAATGTGGATCTGATGAGACCTTTTCTCTCCCTCACTGTCAACGTAACACCAGCTGTGAAGGACTGTTACTTCTACGAGGCAGTAACAGGATTTGAAGTTGATGTTCAGGTTCTCGGTGGAGATGGAATGGACATTGGTCTTTGTGTTTTTGATCCCTCCGGTGCTCCAGTTGTTTTAAGGGACCCCGTTGGAGAAGCTAGTGTATCGTAAGAATGTCGCTTTTTACTTGTGTATCTAAAATTATCATGTAGGATCACGGTTCTCCCTCAGTATCAGGGTCGAGCCTACGCTATCTGTCTGGACAATCGGAAAGCAAGTTATGGTCGGAAAAAGGTCTATCTCGGCATCGATTTGCGTATTAATTGGGATAAACCCAGCCCGGCAGAGCAGGAGATAATCGATCAAATGAAAAGAAACCTAAGGATCGGAGGAAATTCTGCTGAACTGCGCAGGGTGTTTGACAATTTCGATCGTTTGACGGTAAGCCCAATTTTGCGTGATGCGACAGAATCTTTGCCAGCTGATTGAGTTCGTAATCCTTTTTTAAAGGTTCTAGCTTTCGGGACCATCTTGTTTCAAGAGCTTTTGGGCTAGCTTTTTGTCAGTGGCGTTAGTGCTACGGTGCTTCATTGCTTTTTCGCAAATAATGCCTCCAGTCTTCACCTAATGCGCTTTAACTCTCCGCGTAATTAAAGTTTTCTCCTTGACAAAGTGGGTAAGGAGCCTTTCTTATTAAAGGACTCATTGGATCGAATTGGTGGGTTGCTGCATCGAACTCAGCGCTTACAACAACGCTCGCGCAACAATGCCGCTATGGATCGGGCTATGATGGAGGCGAATAAAGACAGAGTGACATCTTGGTCTACCTTCCAGGTAGTCCTTCTCGTCCTTGTCGGCATCATTCAAACTCGACTCATTCGCAGTCTATTTGATGAACAGAGCAGCCTCTATCGCCTCTGGGTGCATGATGGGAGTGGCAGAAGTGGTAGCAGCACCAGGTTTACTACTCACGTTTCTGGTCTGCGATACTAATGCGAATTCAGTCTGTTGTCGGTCTTTCTTGCTTCCTTTCTTGAGTTCTATCTTCACTGTTTCTATGTGTTTCCGATATTGTCTTTTTGTGGATGTAATGCGACTTTGAGACCAAAATAAGACAATTTTCTTCCCATATTGTTTTATCCTGATCTGCTTGTGCTCATTTGTTTCTGATCGCCTGATTGACTGAACTGTTCTACAGCATGGAGCTAGATGGCTTGAAGGCTCATGCTTGATTCATTGTAGATACTGTAATATGGCAGCGACTGAGACCGCAACATCAGGGCCTCCAGCGAGAGATTTAAACGATCCAGCTGAGAAGGCAGCCTGGCAGACGGCCAACCAAGCAGCAGAGAAGATCTCCTCTCTCTACTATCGGTCTTTTGACAAACAAGGCCGTCTTGACTTGCCCACCTTCTTTGTTGAGTCAGTCACTCTCATTTGGAATGGTAACCAAGTTGTGGGTAGGCAGGCTGTAGCTGACTTCCTATCTACCAAGCTGCCAAAGAGTCAGACTACGGTACACACCATCTCAGCCCAACCTGTACAAAGTAAGTGAAAATGTGTGTGTGTGTGCAGCTATGCATGTAATTAAAAGTGGCATTTATGAGTTTACGGTAGTTCATGAATAGCCAATCCCAAAGATATAATTGAAATTGGATTTGAGACTAATCAGACGTTTCTTACGTGTTTTACAGTTATCCTAACGTCATATCCATCTTGTTTTATCTTGTTCTAACGGCTAAAAGTTAGCACTGTAGTCGTTTGATTTACAAGACTGATGCAGGTCTGGGTAATGCCGAGAGGAGGGCAAAGATGTGATAAGGCGCATTGAGGTTATTCTCATTTCATCAACAATAATTTCGCAATTTGTTGAACTGAAAGTAAACTTAGAATCACATGTGGTCTTATCATTGCCATTGAATTGTCAAATCAAGCAGTTTTTGTGTTAGCAAGTCGTTGGTGGTATGATCCACCAGCATATTAACTCTTGGTGCCAGTGCAAAGTCAACACATACAGTTTAGACTTCCTGCACTTGTTTAGCAATAAATTATCCTCCCGTTTGTGTTTTGCGTATTTCCACATTTTTGTTGAGTTTTAAATAGTTTTTTTTGTGCTTGTGTCAAAACCACTTACTGTTCATGGTGAGTAGCTGTTGTGAATTTCACGCGTTATTGTCGCTTAACTAGTGGATTCTAACAACTTATATCTCCAAATAATGTTCATTTTTCTTTGCATATCCGTAGAATTGCTGAGTGGTGACAACACTGTTGTCATGGTAAATATTGTTGGGTCGATGAAATTTGAAGGGAATCCTCCAAAGATGTTCGCCGAAACTTTCTTCCTTATTAAGGATGGAAATCTCTGGCGCATTCAGTCGACTACGTTTCGATTCATTGAGTGAACTAATTCCTTTGTGTCATGCACCTTTTGTACTACTGTCGTGTACAGTTATCCCACTCATTCCCTTCTTTGCGGGCCTTTCTGCGATTTATTACGTGGAAATGGCACCTTTTTTCCTGAAATATAGGAAGGGTGCATGCTTTTTTTGCACACATGTCTCGGCGTTCTG